GATAATTTGTCCTTCTGTGGGATTCTTTTGAATAATCCTTCTGTGGGATTCTTTTGATAATGGTTTAGTAAATTATATAAAACTTTGATTAAAGGAACACTATAGTCACCAAGTGTATAGATCATACTCTGCAGTCTTCCTGCTCAATTCTGTACCATTTAGGAGCTAAATCACTTTGCTTATGCAGCCCTAGCCACAACACCCTGCATGTGACTTTCACAGCCTTCCTAAACACGTCCTGTAAAGATTCATATAATGTTTACACTTCCTTTACAGGTACTCTTAACTTACCGACCGGGTTCCGTTCTTACGACCCGGTCGTAGAACGAATTGGACGGTAAGTGAGGAGTTGAGGGATTCCCTGCTCTGGTGCGCTTGTCTGTCTTTGGGGAAATTTCCCCGAACATAGACAAGCACACCAGAGCAGGGAATCCCTCTAATTTATGTTCGGGGGAAATGTCCCCAAACATAGATTAGAGGGATTCTATGCTCTGGTTCGTTTGTCTATGTTCGGGGAAATTTCCCTCTAGTCCCCACAATGGCTCGCACTTACCCCCACGCTAGAGTGCTGTGTGTAAGTGCGTGCCGTCGTAAAACAGGTAGGTCGTAAAATGAGGACCACCTGTATTCCAATTCTGTTTAATTTAGAATGTTCTAACTCCTGTTCTCGTAATAGCGTGCTAGACTCTGCCGTAGCCTCCTGTGTGTGATTAAAGCTCAATTTAGGAGACAAAAGCTACATCTGATTGAAAATTGAAACCATTTTGTTTTCATGTAGGCTGTGTCAGTCACGGCCACCGGAATGGCAGTGAATTCAGCAGTGAAACTAATCTATACACCAAAACATTTCAATTAAGCTAAAGTTGTTTTGGTGACTATATTGTCCATTTAAACTCTGTATGCTGCCAAACATTGCCAAAGATCACATTCCCAACAAGAATTGGGATTACAATGGTTATTTGAGCAACTTCTGAATTTATTCTGCTTCATCCCTTTAATAAAACATTGGAAAATGCTAAATGATTGCTTTACCATCACTATTTTATTTTTAATTGAGTTCACTGAATGTCAGTGCACTGCCCCAGGAAGCACCTCTTCCTACGCTGTTAGGTAAACACTGCCTTTTCTCTGCAGGGACTTACTATACTCACCAGAACAACTACAATAAGCTGTAGTTGTTTTAATGACTACAGTGTCCCTTATGGTGAGTGTAATCCATTGGTACTTGGTCCCACATCACTGTTTAACAGTTTAAATATAATTTAACAGTGATGCTTAGTTCTCAGCAGCCTCCAGTCTGGCCCCAATTACAGTGTAGCAAAGGCAGCGTTAAACTCTGCCTCAGCCCATACCAGGGGTTCTGTTCAGTGATAGGCTGACAGTTTGAACACATCCTGCCCCATGAGTTAGTATGGTGCAATGCGGATCATAACTCCACCTTCGCGTAACTGGGTGTGAGAAAACAAACAAAATACAAAAGTTTGGGCTGCGCCAAAATATTAATTGCGCTTCTTATGATATGATCTAATGAAAATTTATACAGACAATATAAGAAAAAAATATGTTTTTTCTTATATTTTCTGTATAAATTTTTATCATATCATATGTAAGACAAATAATATTTTGGAGCATCACAAACTTTTGTATTTTTTGTTTTCTCACATCTAGAAAGGGTTTAAGAGGAATTCCCTTTTTTGGGTTGCCATCTGGTCTATCTTTTCTGTTAACTATCGCTGATCCTCCTGTCGTCTGCATCTCTGTAATTGGGTGTTGACTGTTGACCAAGCATCTCTTCTAGACAGTGAATAAACCATTTAGCATTGATACAGAACACGGAGTCAAGGCAAAATAAATTCATCATGAAATTAACTGATAACTATCATAGGTGGCTTTATATTTTGATACAAGTACAACTTGATGTTTGAATGTTTATGAGTCCCGTATAAGTGGGAAATACTGTAAGCAAGCTTCAATTCACAAATGTTATTTAGCTCCCTGATTTAACCTCTTCCCAACGTTGTGGTGTAATATGTCATCCTATAAAATAAGGGCTATAACCTTTTTAGGGCGGCATTGCACGTCCTAACGATCTGATACTCCCTCCAGTCCGCCTTCTTGTGATCAACCCAGGCAGTTCCCCTGTAGGCAATCTAGCCCATGCGGGTCATGTGACTATGAGCAGCTGGTTTGGCTGCCTGAGTTGTCTGGCAGGTGCCCCAATATATAATAATAATACATATAACATACACTTGAAAAAAAATACATATATATATATATATATATATAAAAATTTCCAATCCAAGTGTAGTTTGACAGCCATCCTCTGGTTTGTCTGCCCACTCACCTATTTGAGCATGTTACTTGAATGTAAAAATTGTATTGAGAAAAGTTCGGTCAAGACTGTTAAAGTCGACTTCTCTCTGTACATAATGCACAAATAAAGCAGCATTGATTAAAACAAATATGTCATGTGAGTGAGCTCTGTCACGGAAGATTGTAGTTAAAGGGAAACTATAGTACCAGGAAAACAAACTAATTTTCCTGGCACTATAGCTTCCCCCTCTGTAAAAAAAACCCTTTTGTCACTTACCTGTGTCCTGGCTCGGCTCCGCCTTCTCTCCTCCCCCGCCAACATCAGCCGGCGGGGAAGACCTAATGCACATACATGGCAATGGCCGCGTTCACATTATTCAGTGCTTTACATTGGTGTTTTGGGTGATGCTGGACCTTCCCATGCATAACTTGAGGACGTCCAGTGTCAATTAGGCAACCAAAAGTCCCTCTCGTGGCTGTCTAGTAGACAGCCACTAGCGGTGGAGTTATCCCTAGCAATTAATTAGGGCAGTTTCTTCAAGGGTTAAGGGACCTGGGGCAGTGCACTCAGACCACTTCATTGTGCTGAAGTTGGCTGGGTGCCTTTAGTGTCCCTTTAAGGCTGGAGTGTGGCACGAGACATTAAGAAGGCTGATGGAGAAGCTAGTACAGTGCACAAGGGTGTTATATATATATATATATATATATATTACTATAATTCATAACAGCTCCAAAAAATACCGATATTTTGGAATTCCCAGTTAAAATGCCACTTTTTTAGATTTTATTCATACTGAATTATGTTTCATATATAAACATTTTATGTGAACTGAAAGCCCTATTTCTTCTGAATACAATTATAATATAACACATGTGAGTGCACTTAATATGAAAGAGGTAAATTATGGGTGAAGACACTTATAGCTCAAATTCTAGGAAAATTGCCTCTGTCCTTAAGGGGTTAAACCCCCCTACTATAAATACTTTGATTTTTATGTTTATTTAATAAAATTTGATGATACAAATCTTCATTGCCAGTACATCACTTTTAGAATTTGATAAACTCACCTATGTTAGTGATTCCTCTTCTTGTATCTTGACTGAAGCAGTGAGTCTCAAGGGAATCTCCAGGTTGGCAGTGTAGGAAATAGTTTCATTTGGATCACTCGCAATCATAGGTGTGCTGTTTCTGACAAAGAACACTCCAATACTTGGCCTTATTGCCCTACGCTCTCCCACCCATTTTGTTAGAAATCTACCAATTTACACTAAATCTGCCAGGAAACAATTTGGACAAAATAACGAGGTAATATTCTCTAAGTGAATGTACATAAAGAACATTGGCCCAAACTGTAAACCTGACATATATATATTTGCAATAATGGTGGACTATATGAAAGTTAACGAGACTGATCCTATCTCTCTTTATTCTATGCAAAATTAATTTTTCATGGATGCTTGAAATATGAGTTTCACGTGCATGGAATCTCCTTGCGGTTTTGAGAATGTCCTGAAGTAAGTCTGCTGTAATCCACAACTGAGAGTCAAAGTATTATGGGGGCAAAAACATCTGGCGCTGGAACACAGACTTTGGGGTTAAATAGTTTGAGTCATTTCCAGGGACCTCCTTGCACCATAACAACTTCAATTTGCTGAAGTTGCTATGGTGCCTGGAGACATCAATAAATGCTCTAGACAGAAGTTCACAGGCACCACAATGTAGTGCGCAAAAAGAAAAGAGTTTATTTAGGTCAGAAAGACAAAGAAAATACACAAAGCTTTGGCCATGATTAAAGGGACACTGTAGGCACCCAGGTCACTTCAGCTCATTGAGGTGGTCTGGGTGCTTTGACTCTTTTGAACTTAGTGCACAACAGAGAAGCTCTAAGTCTGCCCTCTGTGGCTGTCTAACAGACAGCCACTAGAGGGCTTCCTAAATCCAAACTGACTTTTAATCCGTTATCTGATGCTGGACATCCTCACGCTCTGCATGAGGACCTCCAGCATCAGATTTTCCCCATAGGAAAGCATTGAATATTACTTTCCTATGAGGAGGTCTAATGCGCGCGTGGCCATTGTTGCGCATGCGCATTTGGTCACCCCCGCCGGCAGGGGAGGAGCATGGGCGGAGCCCGACCCAGCACAGAGGGACATCGGCACTGGATTCAGGTAAGTGGCTGAAGTGGTTTTAACCCCTTCAGCCCCGCGGGAGGGGGGCACAGAGGGAGGGTGGTACTCCAAGAGCCTAAAGTGCCAGCAAAATGGGTTTGTTTTCCTGGCACTATAGGATCCCTTTAAGGCCTCAGCCAAAACGTTGTAGATTTTCTTTGTCCCTTTGATCGAAATAAATTCTTTTCTTTTTGCCCACTACATTGTGATGCCTGTGGATTTCTGTCTATAGTTTACGTTAGTGGTGTGCGGACCCCCACCATAGTGCTCCAACATACTCCCTATGTGTAAAACACTCCACTTACAGTTATCACTAAATGCTCATTTGTGGATGACAAACTTTCAAAACATTGACAGGTGTATTATTCTGTGTAAGTACCACATTGTGATCAATTTGTGGTCAATATCATTTTAATCCTGTATTCCTTCAACTATACATTGTGTTTCATTGAATAAGCACTTTATTGAGTAAGCAAGTTTAAAACATTCAATACACAAAAGGCATATTGCTCTTCTGCTCATGCCACTTTGTGGTACAAGTGATCTCGATCTTCCTCTGGCTCATTGCTTATTTGACGGGGCCCCATTTTTAGGAGAGGCTGGTTGAAATTTTCTGGAACTTCATGACGTGGGTGATAGAGGTGGTCTCTGTCCTCCTCAGCTATGGATCAAAAAGACACAGATTTATCAAACCAAAATTAAAGGGACACTGGGGCATCAACTCATCTTTAATGCATCAAGTGATGTATGTGGCCTCATTATATACCGTATGTCACGAATGCACCCTTCTCCAAGAGTGTGCATGACGTAGTTGTGGTAGTGAAAGGGTTAAAGTTCACAATTTGTCTGCACTAGACCGGAAATAATAATAAAATCCCACTTAACACCACCACACTTAAGCATAATAATATAAATATTACTATTTTAACGCTGCCACCACCGAGACAATTTATAAATGGGGTGCCTTGGTCCCCCAGGTAAATCATTAATAAAAACCCGCCAAATATAACTTAGCAGAATATCTAAGCAATTGCAAAACACTAATTAGTCTTTTCAGGTAACGCGATTCTTATTGCCTTGACACCGTATATTTAACATACCAAAATCTTTGTAGTATTTGGTGAAAAAAATGTTATGCAGAATTCTGCACCATACCTTGCCTTTCTTAGACACAACACTTCTCCCCCTCCCCAAAAAGGAGTTCCTTATCAGTATATATACATGCACAGCTCAGCCACTAACAGCACTGCATGAGCTGAACAACTATAAGCAAAGCTGCTTACATCAGATGAGGACATTCAGAATGCCCATACTAAGGATACCACTACATATATGCCTGCTGTTTCCCTGACCAACCGCAGTATGGCTGTGAATTAAATAAAGCGGCTTCATTTTTTATTATAAGTAGGAAGAGAAAAGTAGTCACATGGGCCAAGTATTATATCAAGGATGGTTAACTACATGGAACACAGCGTGGGAGGGAGTCCCAGGGTTAAAATATAAACTTTCAACTAATTTTTTTCTGCAAAGCTGCACTTCTGCAGTCAGTCCATACAATGCTAGGCTCTATGCTCAGCCCAATCAACACTGAGCAGTACAAAAAGCAGTGACCCCATGATTCGTTCCCACTCTGTGTTACAATAGACCACCATAGATAGGGTGTAAAATCTGTCCCATGTGTCTACTCAAATGGGATATCCAATGACGCTGCTTATTTCATACACAGACGGTAAGAAACTGTGATACATCACGACATGGCTATGCATTATGTGTGTTCTTGTAATGCTGGCTGCTTGGCTTCTAGCAGTTTAGCTCACTCAGTGCTATCAGTGGATGGTAAGTGTACGAACATTGATGAGGAGGCATTTTTTAGAATACGGAAGGACTGGCTAAGGAAGCAGACTTACGGCGCAGCATTCTGTAAAACATGTACTGGGTTTGCAAAAACTACAAAGATGTGAGCATGCCAAATACATTTCATACTGAAGAAAAACTCTGGAGAATCTTACACATTCATCTCAATAAGGGGATTTAGTGTACCCCTCTTCTTCTGGTGATAGTCTGAGGCTGTCTCTACATTTATAAAACTATGTCAAAAAGACTAATTTAAAGGAAGGATTTGGAGGAAGGGAATAACTAGGGCTGGAGAAAATAGAAATGGTGTGAAACCAGTTAATAAAATACAAAATATTATACAGAACCAGAGAAATCCAGCCTAATAACGTATTAAAATATGACCTTTATTATCTATTCAAGAAAAGACATCCGTCAAGTATGAACTTAAAATTTAAACATAGAATGTGTCATAATATAGCCTCAGGAACAGGATATCGAATAAGTCAAACTTTGATTCTGACATTGGTAATCCCACAGTAGATCCAATAAATAGTGTCCATACCTGTTACTAACCTTGATATATATATATATATATATACTCTAATTTATAAAGGTTGTTAGTATATACCAAATATCAAGATATTGACTATCAAAATGTATCTTTAACCTATAAAAGCTGAAAAAGGTATGTCAAAAAGAGCCTCTCCCAGCCTACCTAATTGAAGCCTTGGGTAATCACCAAAAAAGAGAGGCAGAGTGGACAGATGCTATCTTTTCAACTTTCTGGTTTAACCCCTTAAGGGGATACTATAGACATTAAAAAAGCTTAATGAAGCAGTTTGGGTATTAAGGAGTTCAATCACTTTTGTTTCTGTTTATGCACCCTTAGCCACACCTCCCCTGGCTGTGACTCACACAGCATGCATAAAACAATGTTTAGTTTTTAATCAAATGTTTACTTGCAATAAAGGAAGTTCAAACATTACATCTCTCTTTACAGGAAATGTTTAGTAAGGCTGTGTAAATCACATGCAGGGAGATGGGAGTAGGCCTGCATACACAACTGATTTTACTCCTAAATGGTACAGAATTGAGCAGTGAGACTGCAGATCTATACACCAAAACTGCTTCATTAAAGCTGTTTTGGTTTCTATAGTGCCCCTATAAAACAACACCTGGGATATCTTGGTACAACAACGTCTCTTTACTAAATGTTTGAGTTGCAAATTATGTAAACGAATACATTGATTTGGTAAAAAAAATAAAACATATGACATTGAAATATTTGTAGCGACCATTTACCTACAACAATTGTAACAAGTGAAATTAACACAATGTGACACTTTTGCAAGCATTTAACAAAATCTTACCTGTAACATTTAAAAATAAAAACGTGATAACGTGTGTGTATATATACATATAAAAATACATTATAAAAATGTGGTTATAAAAAAGATGTTTAAAATTATTAAAGGAACACTCCAAGTACCATTACCAATACAACACTATGTGGTTAGTGGTTATGGTGTCAGAAGTACCATTTTGCCCTCACAGGGTTAATAATCAAACCTTTTGTAAACAGTGTGATGACTTACCTGGGGTCAGCTAGGCTTGGTCACCCCTTCCAGGAGTGCAGGAATCTTGGTGCCCTAAACTAGTCTTGTGGTGCAGGGCTCTTAGATCATTAGCTGGCAGCACTCAGATGACACTCTCAGCCTGTTTGCCGGGCCAGCCATGCTGGAGCTCAGGGGAGCCAATGAAAGATCTGTGCAAACCCTTCGGCAATTTATCAAATCATTTACAAATGGGTTTGACTGCTTACTTTTGAGGGACACTCTTGGCACTATAACTACAACCGCATACTGTAGTAAAATAACTGCTTTAATATTCTCTAGGTTTGCTTTGAGCCATACAGTCTTAGGGGCTTCAATCAGTGGGACAGTCAAAAGTTTCTCCACCATTATGTTCAGAGTTAATCATATCAAAGAACCTTCCAAAATGATCGACTTGGCTCTCCCCAGACTGCTTCCATACTATTTGAGCTATGTGGCAATATATGTTATGACCATGATAAATGTCTAGTGTAAACTTTCAGACAGGAACTAGCACATTCCTCTTTCTTTACTTATTCACATGTTTACTGTTGTGCAATATGCACAGATGTTAAAGCACAATTGCATTCTCTAATTAAACTGGTAGGTAGTGCGTTGGGGAGCCCCGGGTTTGATCAGACTGGCTTGACAATGTGTTAGGGAACAGTACCTGCAGTCTAAATCTGCATATAGTGGACTCCAATATGGATATTTTCAGATTTCATATTGTATATAAAGTGCATCAGTGTGCAGACCCTCACCTTTGAATGCCAGAACTGGGCTAAATATAAGGGGGTCTTCTCTTGGGGGAGGTTCAATTGCCAACAAGCCCAGCTCACTGCAAAAAAAGACAATGTTTCAGTATAAGTCTGCTACAGCCAATACATTAAAAATATTCAAGCAAGATAGTATTTTTTATTTTTTATTTAGTTTCCATTTTTAATAGAAAGTATAAAACTGTGTTTATGTGTATATCCCTCCCACGTTTTTCTTCATCTGACATTCTATCCTTGTATGGGATCCTAATCCCTCTGCCCCCTACATAGCACACAATAACAGGACTCACAATAAAATGCCTCTTAAATGATACTTTCATCTTGTTCTAAATTACTTTTTTAAGCACAGGGCTGAATTTATAAATCTTTGCAAATTTTGATGGTGCGCTGCCTTATAACAATCCAAAAACCCCTTGCTTTAGTTGTACACATAAGGGCTACACTGTAAAAGTGACAACATGTGTATGTACAAATTATCACACAACATTCTATATTGAGAAATATTATATCACAGTAACAGAGTAGACTTTGAAAACAAAACTACTTGCGCTTCTTTCATCGTTGCTTATTGTCTGTGTATGCATTTATGTATTATCAAAAATACAATGTACGACATCTATATATCGTTAGGCTGCTTTCTCTTTTTAAATTTCTGTTCGCAGTAGCTCTAAAAGTTTCCACAAGATTCCCAGAATGCCATGCAGAATATGCAAATTAGTCAACAGTTTTGTCACTTTTCAGATTTTCTGCCCACAAATGATAAATTAAGGACATTTAGGTGACTGTGTCACCAGCACTGGTGTCTTTCACTTACAGGATTGTTGTGATGTCGGATGCAAATTTCAGAATGCTTTCAGAATGCCTAATTTACATACTTGCATATATTTGTATATTATTAGTTTTGCAGGCGCAATACTTTTCATTTTTGTGTTTATGTTTTCCTGATTCACCTACTCATGTTACTGAGCGATATTTTATTGTGTTCTGATACTGGATACCTCTTTCCCTGTTCTGTTTTTTTTCAAATATTGTTTTGACTATTTCACGGCAAGCTTAAAGCGGCACTGTCATGCCGAATCTCGTTTTTTTTTTTAACCCCCCCTCCCGCCTCCACTACATCCAATTGACCCACTAGTCACCCCCAAATGCCCCCAAGCCCCCCACATTACCTATTTTTTAATCCTTATTTTCTGCCCCGATCTATATTCAGGGCGCCGCCATCTTTGTGTGGGTAGGTGAAGTCCCTGTGGGACACGTCATCAGCCCACACTAGACAGACTGTGAGATTCCCGCACATGCCCAGTGAAACACCTGGACATGCGAACGGGAATTTCATCTATTCACTCATTCATCAGACAGACGAATGAGTGAATAGACATATCAGCCGAACAAACTAACACAATGTATCAGTGTATGTTTGTTCGTGCAGCTTATTACAGGGAGGGAGCTACCAGCGTGCAGCTCCCTCCTTGTAATATGTAAAGACAGAAGCGGCAGGGAGCAGTGCTCCCCACCACTTCATAAGCCCCCCCAGTACCCCCTCTCACTCTATGGGGGTCAATATGACCCCCATAATGGCACAAGAGAGATTAAAATCTCCCAAATGCCCCTACTCGCTATACCGCGAGTAGGGGCATGTCTACTAAACAGTGAGCAGCCTGTGGCTGCTCACTGTTGAAAAAAAATGACAAATTACAATAAGGGGTGGCGGACCTATTGTCCTCCCCCCCTCCCCCACCCTGAGCGGTGGGTGGGGGCCCCAGTAAAACAATAAGGGGGGGGGACCTACTGTCCTCCCCCCCTGGCCCCCACCCCTGCGCGGTGGGTGGGGGCCCTAATAAAACAATAAGGGGAGGGGACCTACTGTCCTCCCCCCCCCTGGCCCCCACCCCTACGCGGTGGGTGGGGGCCCTAATAAAACAATAAGGGGGGGGGGACCTACTGTCCTTCCCACCCCTGAGCGGTGGGTGGGGGCCCTAAATGAAACACCCCCCCCAATCAAGGTGACTAGGGGTCCCAAGCCCCTAGTCACCAACCCCCCACCCAAAAAACCTATCCCCTACCTACCCCCCTCACCCTACAAATAGTGAGGGGGGAATAAAATAACTAACCTGTAAAAAAAAAATTAAACTTACCATTTGACGTCTTCTTTTTTCTAAAATCTTCTTTCTTCAGCCCCCAAAAAGGCCAAATAAAAATCCATTACACCCGTCGCACTTTAAAAAAAAAAAACGAGCGCAAAAAAATAATAATCCATGTTCGCCCTTCGAGGGCACGCCGCATACTGAGCTCCGCAGGGCGGGTCAAGGCTTATAAAGCCTTGCCCCGCCCTGCAATAAGGTTTAGAACACTCTGATTGGTGGGTTTAAGCCAATCAGAGTGCTCTGAGTCATTTTACACAGCGTGGGAAAGTTCTTTTGAATTTTCCCACGCTGTGTAAAATGACTCATAACACTCTGATTGGGTGGCTTGAAAGCCACCCAATCAGAGTGCTCTGAGTCATTTTACACAGCTGGGAAAGTTCTTTTGCATTTTCCCACGCTGTGTAAAATGACTCATAACACTCTGATTGGGTGGCTTGAAAGCCACCCAATCAGAGTGCTCTGTGTCATTTTACACAGCGTGGGAAAGTTCTTTTGAATTTTCCCACGCTGTGTAAAATGACTCAGTGGTAGATGGCTCAGGGGTGGGGGCCGGGGGGGGAGGACAGTAGGTCCCCCCTTTATTGTTTTATTAGGGCCCCCACCCACCGCTCAGGGGTGGGGGCCGGGGGGGAGGACAGTCACCCAATCAGAGTGCTCTGT